TGGCCAGGAAACCAGGTTTTGGTCCGTGCTGGATTGCACTGAGGTATGGAAGCGAAATGTGTGCCGCTTCGTTTCAGGGGTGCACCAGGGAGTTACCGAATTTTGGGTTCACTGTTCCTTTCGTCGCTCATCTCTCGCTCCTTTCAGCATTTCTGGGACTTCTCGGTGGACGGGACTTCCCCTTCTTCCCCTTTTTCCCATCACTTTCTTCCTCCGCTGCCCTGGAACCAGACTGCGATGAAGGCATAGTTTACCTGGAGTTCGTAGCAAAAGCCGCTCCGAAGTAAGGGGGTATTCGTAAGATAGGCCGAGTATGTGAGGACATGTTTGAGAGAGGGGCTGTACTGGCGTGGAAATACTTGGAGACTGGGCTGGATGGCGTGGCTGTTTGCACAAAGCATTCATGGGCCTCCCTGAATTTGGTTGTTAAAGTGTATTTTGCCCTTCTGAAGTCCATCTCTCTTTCTCTGCAAGATGGTTTTTTTGTTGTCGGATACCACGGGATTTTTTTGCTTCTGAAAATAGTTTTAACAGCTGGCAAACTAACTTTAACCCTCATTTCCCTCGCTGCTTCTCCAGGGGGAAGTCGAAGAGCACCATGCATAGTGGGTTTGGGAAACGACCGTTTGATCCTGCTTTTGGAGATCGCGAAATCGGGATTCACAGTTGTCCTGGATTGTGAAATATAGTAGCTGCAGAGTGTAAAAACAACATTCTTATTTACTCAGATTAGGTGCTGCTCGTGAAATGAGCGGTTATTCTTAGAATCTGCAAAGGGTTGTGAAATCGAACTTCATGCTTCACGGATTATTGGTATTCCCGGGTGAGTAATAACGGCATGAGACATGCGATTCGGTGCACTGTTTTCGATGGGGCGACAAGAAAGCGAGAGAATTTCATGTGTACTCGACGAGAAACTGCTTGAGTTTGGTCATTCTTTTCTGCGGGGATTTTTACAAGAGTGCCTGAAGTTATCCAGAATCCCGAGTACGGTACAGTACCCCAATTTGGCGTGGATGTGGGACAGCGGCTTTGAAGCTTTAAAGTGCAGAAATGGCGCCATCAGGTGTCTGCCGCATAGAAAAAAGGCTTGGACGGGCCGATCTCTGAGAAATGGAGTGTAGCCGCGCTCTGGGACTGCTGCCTTCTGGCACAGAGCACCAATACTACAGCCTGTACATTTTGACTGTATCTGGGAGCACAGAAAAACCTTGCATCATCTTTTATAGGGCTTGAACTTGTTCTGACCAGTGAGTCTTTTTGAAGGCCATATGGCTGTGAGAGGGGGTGGTGCTCGGGAACTTTGGATACACTTTTAGGCTTTCGATTAGATCCGGGTCCCGGGGCAAGTGCTGAGATACTTTGTGGATAAGGTTCACGGAAAACACAAATATGGGCAGGTGTATGGGTGATTGGCTGTGAATTTTTGAAGGGGATTGTTGATGTATGTGCCTGTATTGAACGGCAAAGAGAAAGCCCGAGATCTAATTGATATTGTTCGGGAGCAGACGGATGCACCGATAAACTGCTGCGTAGACACTGTATCGCTGATACTGAGCAGCTTACTGCGAGATTTACCCGGGGAGATTGCTCTTCGGGAAGTTAAAAATGCACTGGAATGTGATGACATTATTGATCTGGATAACTGCTACGATGCAAAACTGCTGGAAAAGCTCACTGCTAAAATAGCTGGTCAGGTTGCCAACAAATCGCAGGTAAGTCATTCACTTCATTAACAACTGGTTGATGTTTCCGGGGCGCGTCCTCAGATTATCTGTTTGTTTTTGAAGTAGGATGAACAGCTTTGCGAGGAAAAAAAAAAAAAAAAAGAAAACGATTGCCGAATCACATTCGATGAAATGACCTGCTTGCATAGTGTAGGTAGGACTGGAGGAGATATGTATGCTCCAGGAGAAAGAACCATGTGGCTATATTTCGGTAATATTGGAGCTTCACACAGACCAGCTGTTAACTCGACCACTGTATAACTTCTAGTGTTAACTGTTGGCATTTTCATGACGTGCGTTTTTTATGCGTTTTTGCTGGCTGTAGCAGCGCCGCTATAGCGCTGCTACAGCCAGCAAAAATGCATATTGTCGAGAGGCTGTCTGTGTGTGTGTGTGCGCAAAGCGAGTGCATTTTGTCACCCACTTT